GACTTTACTGGATGGGAAAGAGAATTCATAGCAAATTAATAAAAGGGTTTTTGTCAGGACAAGGAGTTTATTTCATGCTCTTGGGAAGCTTTGATCAGAACAGATGGTAGGTAGAGTACATTCAAGCCACAGCCATCCGCCACTTTCCAGAGCATCCCATAATAAACACAGTATTTTTAGAAAAGTTGTAATTGGTGGAAGAGGGCCCGATTATGAGAGATTGTGGCAGACTGGAAAAAGAATGGAAGGGAAAGCGGACAATAATTCAGTTTCACAACCTTGGCAGATTGAAGATGGATGGACTTCAACTCCCAGAACTCCCTAGCCAGCCATGGGAGTTGAAGTCCACCCATCTTAAAACATGCCAGTCAGGGAATTCTGGGAGTGGAAGTCCACCCATCTTAAAGCATGCTGGCTGGGGAATTCTGGGAGTCGAAGTCCACCTATTTAAAGCATGCTGGCTAGGGAATTATGGGAATTGATATCCACCCATCTTAAAGCATGTGGTCTGGGGAATTCTGGGAGTCGAAGTCCAGACATCTTTTCAAGTGTGTTTGCTGAGGAATTATAGGAATTGATATCCACCCATCTTAAAGCATGGCAGTTATGGAATTCTGGGAGTGGAAGTCCACCCATCTTAAAGCATGCTGGCTGGGGAATTCTGGGAGTCGAAGTCCACCTATTTAAAGCATGCTGGCTAGGGAATTATGGGAATTGATATCCACCCATCTTAAAGCATGTGGTCTGGGGAATTCTGGGAGTCGAAGTCCAGACATCTTTTCAAGTGTGTTTGCTGAGGAATTATAGGAATTGATATCCACCCATCTTAAAGCATGGCAGTTATGGAATTCTGGGAGTGGAAGTCCACCCATCTTAAAGCATGTGGTCTGGGGAATTCTGGGAGTGGAAGTCCATCCATCTTAAAGCATGCTCGCTGGAGAATTCTTGGAGTCAAAAGTCTACCCATCTTGAAGCATGCTGACTAGGGAATTCTGGGCATAGATGTCCACCCATCTCAAAGCATGCCAACTAGGGAATTCTGGGAGTCGAAGTCCATCCTTCTTAAAGCATGCTGGGTAAAGAATTCTGGGAAGTGAATTCTATGTATCTTAAAGTGTCCAAGTTTGAGAAACTTTGACTGGTAGCTTCCTTGTTTATTGATAAGAGGCACTTAGATTTTTGGCGTTTTCTGCCCCATTGGAACCATGTCCCCTGCTCCCTCCGTCTCTTCGGACTGAATTTTTTTCCTGCTTTTTCTCCTACCCACACAGGGACTCCAAGCGGCCCAAATACTGCATCGAACTGAGCTCCCACGCTGTGGGTTTAGTCCGAGTCCAGAAGAACATCATGGTGGCTTGTTCAGATGAGACGTTGCGAGGCTACAACCAGAAGGTTAGTTTCGACTCTTGCTGCAAAATTGAGTCCTGTCATGCGGCAGGTGGCTCGATTTACGACCACAACTCATTTAACCAATGTTTCACATAAGCCAACAACAGAAATCCGGGCTCCCTTGCAGTGGGGAAGTCCAAAGAACTGCCTGTATATTCTTCCGCAGTGCCTTGAACAATCCTGCAGGGGGCAGTGTTGCTCTGCCCAAACTCCTCCCCAGGAAGGGAAGGAACATAGAGTAACAGAGTTGGAAGGGACCTTGGAGGTCATCTAGTCCGGCGGGTACCAACTGGTGGTCCGTGGACCAGTGGTGATCCGTGAGACAATTTTGATGGTCCGCAGAAAAATTATTTGCATTTTTTTATATTGCACTCAATCAGGGGTCCTCAAATTACAGCCTCTGGGATGGATAGGTGCAATGAAAGCTTGTGTTGCTGCAGGGAGTCTCCCCCTTTGGGGTCTTTTTGGTTGGGTCGGAGGGGGGCAGAAATTCAAACTTGGGGTCTGCTTCAGCTTCCTGGTGGGGGGCTTTGGGCGAAGGCTGGAGGGAAGCATCACTGGTGGCAAAGAGCCGGAGGGCCTCGTTCCAGTGGGACTGCATCACAGCCTGGAACTGGCTGATCATCTCAGCCCACTGAGCCTCCAGGCGCCGGCACCTGGCCTTGAACTCCCACAGGTCTTCCCTCTGCTTGGAAAACCTATGCTCCTAGTCCTCAGTGAGATCCTTCTGCTGAGCCTCCTTCTCAGCCAGATCCAATTTGAACTGAGTTATTTTGCCAACTTTTTCTCCTGGGGGCTGCTTAGCTCCAGCAACTGCTTTCTGTTGGGGCCCTAAGGAGCTGGGTGGGCAGGCGAGGGGTGGCGAGTAGAGTAGGTTCCCCTCGACATGATTGACATTGAGTTGGCCACGCCCACCCAGTCACATAACCACCTAGCCACTCCCAGACGGTCATTAGGCAGGTCATATTAGTGGTCTGCAGAATTTAAAATTATGAATTTAGTGGTCCCTGAGGTCCGAAAGGTTGGTGATGCCTGGACTAGATGACTTACAAGGTCCCTTCCAACTCTGCTAATCTGAATCTAACCTGAAACTGAATCTAAACTCCAGAAACATTGTTCTGGAACTCATTTTAAGAAGCACGGACTTCAACTCCCAGAATTCCCGCTCCACACAAATGGAAGCAAATGCATAAAACCTTGATAATATTGATAATATTAGGGTGCCTTTGAAGCCTAGGGTATTCAGGAGTTCCTCCCTGGTCTCCGAATGGCTTCCTCACCAGTGGTCCATGGGATTTAAAATTATGAATTTAGTGGTCCCTGAGGTCCGAATGGTTGGGGACCCCTCATCTGGTCCAACTCATCCTGCTCAAGCAGGAGACCCTATGATTTTCTGATATTCCACCCCCTCTCCCCCCCACCGCCCTCTTCTTCTACCAGGGAAAGAAACTCTGGGCAGTGAAGTTGTCGGCGAATCCCATCACTTTGGGCTTCATGGATGGGAAATTGCAAAGTTTCCAGGCTGTGTTGGTGGCGCTGGCCAACAGGGAAATTCATGTTTACCGGGATAAGAACCTTGTCAACGTCATCCAGGTGCCGGTAAGCTTCCAAGCTTTGGGAATATTTGTGGACATCCTGTCAAGTTTATGCCAACCAACTTCCTTTTCAACCCCCTAGACCTCTTTGCTCACTTCGGGAATTAACATTACAGATCATCCAAAACAGGGCTCAAATTTATATACTTTCACTCATCTAAGGGACACGGTGGCTCAGTGGCTAAGACGCTGAGCTTGTCGATCAGAAAGGATGGCAGTTTGAATCCTTAGCGCTGCGTAATGGAGTGAGCTCCCGTTACTTGTCCCAGCTTCCGCCAGCCTAGCTGTTCGAAAGCAGGTAAAAAAGGCAAGTACAAAAATAGGCACCACCTTTGGTGGGAAGGGAAGAGCGTTCCGTGTACCTTCGGCGATGAGTCATGCCGGCCATATGACCACGGAGACTTCTTTGGACAGCACTGGCTCTTCGGCTTTGAAACAGAGATGAGGACCGCCCCCTAGAGTCGGGAACGACTAGCGCGTATGTGCGAGGGGAACATTTAACTTTAATCTTAAAATTGCAGTATATTAAGTAATGGAACATTATTAACCTCTTCATTTTCTTCTTAACATATCTTCGAATAAAAATATAATACTAATATTAATCATAATTATCTTCCTCATCATAATACTAACAATTATCATCTTGTTTATAGCTCTATCTTGACATATTTTCTACTCTTTTTTTAGTCTTCTTCCCTCATTTCCAGGTTCCCTTTTTCCCCTCTATTGATAAAATACTTCCCATATCTTATAGTATTCAGTTTGTTCTTTCTCTTTCATTATTAATGTTAATCTATTCATTTCTGCACATTCTAATATTTTCCCGATCACCTTCTCATCAATAGGAATCTCTTCACTCTTCCAATGTTGTGCAAATACAATTCCAGCTGCAGTTAATACATGGATAATCAAATAGGTATTCTCAACGGGTGTGTCTTCACAGCAGGCTCCCACGATGGTCGTAAATCGAGGACTACTGAGAAAGCCCCTCACACATACGACATCCAGCTTCAGCTTGGAAGGATCCAGCTAAAAATATCCGGCTCTTCCCCTCTCAAAAGGTTTCTGATTTCGCTCCTTCGTTGCTGACCGATTTTCCTTCTTTCTTTCCGATTCTTGGCAGGACGTCGTCACCAGCATCGTTTTCGGCCACTACGGACGAGAGGATAACACCCTCATCATGACAACTCAAGGTGTGTGAATGTAAACGAGCTAGGTTCGGGATCCGATCTGGGTTGGTCAGCAGGACTGGAGGTTTTGCCTTCCGAGCTTTCGCCCTCGTTGCTGGAGCCCAGCTTCATGGAACTTCCCTCTTGCCAGAATGTGGGGGCTGTTGGCCAAAGGCAGCCTCTTTGTTTCTTCCATGGTCTGGTGAAGCCTTTTCTTCATTCATGGCTGCAGGATAGTTTATCCTTTCTTTAACAGATTCCTTTAACAGATGTTGGAAGGGACCCTGTAGGGTCATCAAGCCCAAGCAGGAGACTCTCCACCATTTCTGATAGATGGCAGTCCAGTCTCTTCTTGAAAACTTCCAGGGATGAAGCTCCCACAACGTCCGAAAGCAACTTCTCTTCCATGGGTTGATGGTTCTCCCTGTCAGGAAATTCCTCCTTATTTCCAGGTTGAATCTCTCCTGGATCAGTTTCCATCCATTGTTCCCTGGCTTTGGAGAATAGCTTGACCCCCTTCCTCCTCTCTGTGGCAGCCCCTCAAATATTGGACAACTGCTATTCTATCTCCCCTGGTCCTTCTCTTCACTAGAACCAGCCATGCCCAGTTCCTGCAACTGTTTTAGCCTCCAGGCCTTTGATCATCTTAGACAGATTCAGATTAACAGCGATGGAAGGTGCCTTGGAGGTCATCTAGTCCAACCCCCCACCCAAGCAGGAGACCCTACGCCATTTCTTAGAGAAGGCAGTCCNTGGAGCCGGCGTCGTCCAGGGTCATCCCAGAGTGGCGACCCCTACCGCTGGCTGGTCTTCCTGGGTCCCCAGAATCTTGAACATCCCGGGCAAACCTCCCCAGCCCAAATCCCCATCCTGATATTAAGATGCCTTCCCCCACCCCAGATGTCATTCCTGGAGTCCATTAGGACTGTACTACAAAGTGGTATAGTGTAGTTTGCAGCATGCGGTTTGAGAGATATGGTGATATGATGTTGTATTACTGTTTTTGTCTTAATTGTTTTAGAATTTTCATGGATGGAACAATTGCTATAAAGAGCTGATTATGGCAAATAGATAATCAACATTATTCAAGATGCTGACTATTTGCTAGATATAATTGTTAGGCATACCTTTTGGTTTGAATATGTCACAGCATCAATCTGTAATATTTCTGGAGTACTTGTGTGCACCCTGAAGGACCCCATTTTTTAAAAAAAAGATTAATTTTTTTGCACCCTACAAAGTTCTCCCAGACTCACTGCTAAATTTTGTTTTTCTTACTTTTTGAGACAGGGAAGACAAGAAAATTGCTATGCAACTCCAAAATAACCTAATAAACAACAACAAAAATTATCCCAGAAATAGAAGAAAGCCAGCCCAAGTCAAATATGTGGTGTGACTTCATCCATTTGGCAAAATCTTTTCTACTTTCTACAGTTCTCAGTTGTCCCCAAATCACTGAATTGTCCTCAGGTATAACATTGATCACAAAAAAAATGTTACCCACCCACTTGGTCAAGAGAATTCTATATAAGATTTCAACTGTCTCGTCTTGAAAAAAAGAAAAAATTTTTTTCTGAAGAATTAATTAGAGGCTGGCGAACTCTACAATCATCTAGATGGCTCACAAATTCAAAAGAAAACAAAATTTCTAACAAAACATCACCAGATAAAAAGAGATTAAGAAAAAGCATATCTATTTATCTCCTATTTTAGAAGTAAAAATGAGGATTGACAGATCAGGCTGCAAAAAAATAAATAAAAAATGATAATAATCTGCCATTTACTGATTGTCTGAATTTTTGCTGTTCATATGTGGTATCACGGAAAAAATAGTTGTACTTTCCACTAATTTTACAAAAATAAACCTGCAGCACCAAGGGCGCTGTGGACTGAAAAAGTTTGGGAACCACTGAGATAGATAAACATCTTCCAAGATTTCCTATTAAAAGAAGAGCAAAGGAATAAGTGACTTAAGAGTTCAACAGTTATTTCTGGCTCTAGTCCTTGACTTGTTACCACAACTGAGCCCCAAATTTCCTTTGCTATGCAAGACAGTTATCAGCTGAATTTTGCCCCATTTTACGACCTTTATGGCCACTCTTGTTAAATGTATCACTGCAATTATTAGGTTAGTAACAGGTTTGTTAAGTGAATCTGGCTTGCCAATGGACTTTGATTGTCAGAAGGTTACAAAAGGTGATCACATGATTCAGGGACACTGCAACTGTCATAAATATAAGTCAGTTGTCAAGCATGCTAATTTTGATCAAGTGTCACTTTTATCACTGCTGTTATCAGTGTTGTTGTAACTTTGAACAGCCACTAAAAATGGTTGTAAGTTGAGGACTATTTGTGCAGTATATGCGGCTGGAGAGGACTACAGAGTGCACCCAACCAACTCAAGGTGAAGGGCAGACAGCATTTCAGATTTAGAACTGAGGAGAGAGAAAAGGGTAACACAAGACCATTTGAGAAAAGTCCATGAACAATGGGGTAAGATATTAAGCTTAGATTTGTTTGCCATACATTGCTTAAGATGACTCCTGGTCAGGGGTGGTGTGCACATACCTTTCCTGCTGGTTCGCAAATGTGAGCGTGAACACACCACCTCCGTGCATGCACAGATTCTTCCACAAATGCGCTTCTGATGAAAAAAAGGGCTTAAATGGGATGCCATAGAGCTGGGCATGGGTGGGCAGAGCCACCCACAATTTCCACTATCAATTTGGATGATCCTGTCCGAAGTGGTAGAATACCACTTCTGATCCTGGAATTTTCAGACTGTAATGGAGAGGGAGGGGGGAGGGAGGGAGGGGAGGAGAGAGAGGGAGAGAGAGAGAGAGAGAGAGAGAGAGAGAGAGAGAGAGAGAGAAACTGGAGTTTGCTCTGAGCTTTTGTTAGCCAGATTGATTTTAAATGGCCTCTGACAACCAGCAGAGCCAGACTCATAGGAGACAAAGTAAATTTTAACCAGAAATTAAGGAAATAGAACCAGGCTCTGGCATCTACAGAAACCAAACCTGTCTCTAACCATAAAGCAGCATTTTTGGTGCATCTTGGAACTGCTCTCAAAAATGTGGACTGGACAGCTTCCAGGCATTAAACTTTATAAAAATGCAGATCAGAACAAGATAAAGCAGCGAAGAAACAACCTTAGCAATAAAATCCTTGCAGGAATAAAATGTGCTCCCTTTGAGTGGAAGAATCATAAGGCAGCTGTGGAGCTACATTGGGCGACGCTTGCCTGATAAGAGAAATGTGTGTTCCAAGATAAGGAAGCTTGCAATTGCACCCCAAGATATGTATAAGTACATTCCTGCTGTTTTAGGGTCCTGTTAATTTGCCATTTATGCATCCCACTGTTGTGTTGTGCACACCAGCACTTTTGTTGTTTGATCATTTACTTACAAGTTGTTCTTTTAGGCAAAAGGAAGCCAATGCCCTCAATGCCCTTCTCATTCCCACCCAGGAGACAGACAAAATTACTATATCATCTGCATACAGCAAGGCTCAAATTGAACAATTTGCTAACATTCAAATATATATTAATGACTGTTGCACCAACTGACTGCTTGGGGGATGGTCTCCAGGCTTTTATTAATGAACAACTCTGTTACATGAACATTGCAAAGATACACCATGTAGAATGCATTTGAAAATATCTTTCTGATTATGAGTTTGGTACATATGCATATGGAAATGAGTGGTATGGGAAACTGGGGGTGGGACATACTGTGTGGGGAAAAGTTTTTGGTGGTCCAAAATGGACAAAGAACCCTTTATCAATCAAACATGAGTCAGAAACTACTGGTCTTACTAAGTCAGTAGATTAATGTGTGCTATAAAGACTTATGACTCTGATATGCAGAAACTGCTCAAGTATTTGGAGATATTTAACATCCCTTTTCTTGCTTTGAAATTGGAAACGAAGTGAAGAGTCGCTTTCTCTAGGAGCCAGATTGACACAGAAGACCCAGACTAGAAATTACAAGACTAGGTTCTACCTTAGGCACAAAGTCTATTGGACTTTGACTTTCCACCATAGGCACAAAATTCTGGTTCCATCTTAGGCACAAAGTCAACTGGAAGACCTTGGGCCAGTCACTCTCTCTCAGCTATAGGAAGGTAAAAGTGAAGGTTCTCCTGCACATGTGTGCTAGTTGTTTCCATCTGTTTGGGTAGTGCTCATCTCCATTTCAAAGCTGAAGAGCTAGTGCTGTCCTAAAACATCTCCGTGGTCATGTGGCCAGCATGACTAAATGCCATAGGCACATGGGAGGGGGAGGGGCTGTTACCTTCGCACCAAAGTGGTCCCTATTTTTCTACTTGCATTTTTATGTGCTTTTGAACTGCTAGGTTGGCAGAAGCTGGGACAAATAATGGGTGCTCATCCCATTATGTGGTACTAGGGATTCGAGCTTCAGATCAACAAGCTCAGCATCTTAGCCACTGAGCCACCGCATTCCTTTTTCTATAGGAAGGAGGGCATATCGTTTGCCTATAAGGACGAATCATTAAAAAAAATAGCAGGGACTTGCCCTGGCAAATTCCATAAGTCAAGACATCAAGACTGATCTAAAAATATGTGCCCACACAAATAAACCACACACAAATAAAACAAACAGCATTTCTTTTGGCTATTCCTTGACCTCACAATTCTACTAACCCATCCTAACCTATAGCAAGGAAAGAGCATTTCAGAAACTGGTATATGCTTTTTCAGAAACAAATGAAAAACCTGAAAGCCAGTTTTGGGCTAGCAGTTAAGATGCTAGCCTAGAAATCAGGAGATTTTGAGCTCTAGTTCCAGATTAAGCAAGAGGGAAAAACAGCTGGATGACTTTGGGCCAGACACTCTCTTTCAGTCCAGTTCATCTCTTAGAATTATTGTTGTTGGGGAAATAGAAATTTGGGTATATTAACCACCTTGACTTGTACATGAAGAAAAAGGTGGGCTAAAAGTCTTTAAAAAATCACACCTGCATATTTTGCCCACTTCTGAATGGCTCTGGTTGATCAAAAAA